GTGCCCTCTTGGGGGGCCTCTTGGAGGCCTCTTGTGTCATCTTGGAGGCCTCTTGGGCCATCTTGAAACCTTCTTGGTCGTCTTTGAGCGGTCTTGAGGCGACTTTGGGCTCTCTTTGACTGACCATTTTGAGGACCTCTTGGAGCCATCTGGGCTCGTTTTGGGGCCCTCCTGGACGGGGCAGGCCGATGCGAGCGGTTCCGGCGGACCCCTGGCAGGCCCGGGAAACGGGTAGTCCAGGCGGGCTTTTCCGGATTTGCAATTCTGCCTACAGCAGCAGCACAGCCCCCAGTGTTGCGTAAGCCTTGGGCACTCCACTTCCTGCCGGAGGCACGGTGACGGGTACACGTGCATGCATGAATGCATGCATGCATGCATACATGCATGCACACACATCTACATGTATGCATGCTCAAAACACTGGTACACACATACGTACACAGATGCATGCGTACACACATATACACATACACATACATACCGAACTGCATACATACATACATACATACATACATACATACATACATACATACATACATACAAACATACATACATACATACATACATACATACATACATACACACACATACATACATACATACATACGTACGTACGTACGTACGTACATACATACATACATACATACATACATACATACATACATACATACATATACACACAGTCACACATACGTACATACATACATGCGCCCACACACGTGCACATACATATGCATACACATATACATGCATGTATACATACACGCATACCACCACATATTTATATACACATGTCTATAGACATGCATGCAGACATGCATACATACACACAGTTACATATACATACATAGTTTCATACATATATGCATACATACATACTCACATCCATTCATACATACATTAACATGCATACACACTCACAAACAAGCAGACATAGTTACACTCATACGTCTATACCTACATACGTACACACATACGTACCTACATACACACATACATACACACATACACATATGCATACATGCACGCACATGCGCATACAAATATGCACGCACACACACATGTGCGCGACCCACATGCACACATACATACATGCATGCATGCATATACGCTGACGTACGTATATATCTACACATCTGCATACGCAACACAAGCACAACACTTACACCTACACATACACGTGCAATTCCATATCCGTCCACATACACACATACGTATACTTCTACACATCCACGTGAATCATCACACTTTCATGCGTACACGCATCCACACATGCATACACAGATGCGTACACATCCACACACAAGCATACATACATACATACATATATACATGCATGTCTACATACAACCATGCAAACATACATACGTACATACGTACGCACACATACGGTCGTACGTATATGCATACACCCATACCCACAGACACACGTATCAGTTTACATACAGGCATACATGGATGTATACATATGTACACGCATACATCCATAAGCCAACACACATACATACATCACATATATGCATACATGTATGGCACCCATACCCACAGACACACTTATCAACATACATACAGGCATCCATGCATGTATACATATATGCACGCATACATCCATACACCAACACACATACACACATTACACGCGTACATACATGTTCGCATTATCACATATATATATATATGTGCATATATATATATATATATGTATCGACCCATTCAGTGAAACATGCATATGTATGTATGTTTATATGTTTGTACGTATATCTGTATACATTAAAATGTTGCCACACCGGCAACCAGATGGGAGGGTTGCATTTTTGCGAGCGGAGGACTTTTTTGTTTTGAGGGGGGGCAGGATCTGCAGGCAGGTGGAGGGGGAGGGGACGACGATGATCAGGGAGAGGGGGCAAGGCGTTGTAGAATTAGCAGGGGCATGGATCAGAAACGAGGAGGCGAACGACGGGACGGCTCAAGCAAGCCAACGTTTGTCCTGTGCCAGAGAGAAGGAGGAGGAGGAGGAGGAGGAGGAGGAGGAGGAGGAGGAGGAGGAGGAGGAGGAGGAGGAGGAGGAGGGAAAGGAGGAGGAGGGCGAGCAGGAACCCGGGACGGTGTCAAGACGATGCTGTCCTGGGAGTGTCCGGCGTGTGAGACTGCGGAACTTGTATGCTGCGGGTGGCCCCCGCAGAGCCACCGGGTCCGCCACGGCCGCGGGTGGCAGGAGCAAGGAGCAGGGAGCAGGGAGCAGGGAGCAGGGAGGAGGAGGAGAATGAGAGGAGGAGGAGGAGCAGGAGGAGGAGGGAGGGGGGAGGAGGAGGAGGAGGAGCAGGAGGAGGAGGAGGAGGAGGAGGAAGGAGAGGAGAGGAGGAGGAGGAGGAGGAGGAGGAGGAGGAGGAGGGGAGGAGGACTCGGAGGAGGAGCCAGGAGGAGGACAATGGCGTGGAGGTTCCTGGTCGACCCCTCCGCTGCCGCTCTCGACCAGACCCCCCGCCCTCGCCCGCCTGCCTGCGCCCTTCTCGGTCGCGCCCCCCGCCCTGGCCGGCGCCCCTCGCCCCCCTGCGCTCGCTCCCCTCGCGAGCTCGGTCTGGAAGCCGGCTTCTCGCAGGCCCGGGCCCGGGCCCGCGGTGCGGCGGCGCCTGGGCCCGCGAGCGTGAGGGCGCCTCGGGGAGCATCGCTTCTTCCCTCCTCCTCCTCCTTCCTCCTCCTCCCTTTCTCAGAGGCGAGCGAGGGGGGGGAAGTGAAACGGGGCGGGCCTTCTCAGGAGGCTCGGAAGTCCCCCCCGCCTTCTGAAGAGTTTCCTAAGCCTTTCCCGAACTCGCAGAAAACTTCCCAGAAGGCGCGGGGGCTTTGAGAAGTCCCGCCGCCTTCCGAGAAGGCCTCCTTCTCATTTCACCCCCTCGCTCGCCGCCAACTTTCGGGTGGGCGGCGGTAAGCCGAGTCCCGCTGCTGCCGAAGCTCGCCGCGCCCTCCCGTGTGCCGCGCTGCGCCTCCCCGGGGCGCTCCCTCGACGCCTCCCTCTGCAGCCCCCCTTCCGGGTGCCCCCGAGAGGACCTGGCGGCACTGTGCGTGCGCGCCTGGACCTTCGCCGCCGCGGCGGCCGCCCAGCTACGCCGCGCGGAGGAGCCACCGCCGCCAGCCGCGGCGGCTGCTGCCGCGGCGACGCCGACGGCGGACGTGCGGACGGCGGCGACGGCGGCGGCGGGCGCCGCTGCCTACGACGGCGACGGCCGCGTCGGCGGCGGCGACGCCAACGACGGCGGCGGCGCCGATGGCGGGCGCGGTCGCGGTGGGCCGCGGTGGCCGCGGAGCTGGCCGCCGCGTCGTGGACGGCCACGGCGGCGGTGGCGGCGATGGCCGCGGCGGCCGTGGCGGCAGACAGGACGATGACGACGAGGATGGGGGAAGGGGGGATGGGGGTTGTGGTGGTGGAGGTGGAGGAGGAGGTGGAGGAGGAGGTGGAGGAGGAGGAGGAGGAGGAGAAGGAGGAGGAGGAGGAGGAGGGGGAACAGCAGAGGGATGAGGCTGGAGAGAGCCGAAGAGCCGGTGCCCAACCTCAGCGGCGGGGGTCTGCTCGGGGTCGGCACGGGGCGGCACGGGGAAAGGGGGCGGTGCAAGCAGTTGCTCGCCACGGGCTGCGGCGCCGCCGCGGAGAGCGCGCTTCCCGATCAAGTGTCGCCCTTTGTGGGCCCCGGAAACGGCTGGGCTGTTTTTTCCACCGTTTCCCAAAACATATCCCATGGAAACGGCAAAAAAAAGGCGACCGGAAACGGCAAAAGAACGGCTCCAGGATTGGAACCGGAGCCGGAACCGGTCAAACAACGGCGACGGAACCGGTAACAAAAACGGTGTCAGAACCTGTAAAAAGAACAGCTAAACGGAACCAGTTAAAAAACGGCCCTGTCGTTTCCAGGGCCTACTAAGGTGTCGCCTCCTGCGCTTGGATAGGGGGCCACATGCGAACCCTACCCCTAACCCCCCACGATTTCAGAGGGGGAGAGTGGGGTTCACTCCGCTCGGGAGCTCCCGAGCGGAGTGAACCCCACCCTCCCCCCTACCCCTGTCCCCCACGACTTCTGAGGGGGGGGTAGGGGTAGGGTTCGCATGTGGCGCCCTAGTGGAGGCGCTGGGGATACCGGTTGGGTGAGCTGATTCGCTAACAGGGGAACAATCGGGGGCAACGATAGGGGGGATAGGCATAGGGGGGGATGCATCGACCCCGGATCGCCCGTTGATCGCCGATAGGGGCCCGATTGCGGATTCACCATCTGGGGCCTATCGCTGATCTATCGGCGATGTATCGCCGATTCCGGGTCGATGCATCCCCCACCCATGCCAGTCCCTCTCTATCGTTGCCCCTCAAACAATCGGGGATTCGTAGAGGGAGGGTTATCCCAAGGTGGGGCTGGGGAGCGGGCCTAGCCAGATGCTCCCGTTTAATGCGTTTCCTCCTTCCAGGGGCCGTCCGGAGCGATTTTCCCTCCGACCCCCCTGCCCCACCTTTGTGCCCCCCCCAAACAAGAATAGACACAAACGTGCAAACTCGGAGGTCCCCGCGAATTTCTTGGCTCGGCACTGGACCCCCTCCCTGCGCGCGGGGCGCGGCAGGGGCAGCGCCGGCGGCGCCTCGGAGGCGTTGTCAGGGGAGGAATCCGCGCGGACCTCCGAGATGTTATGTTTGTGTCGTTGCTTGTTCCCCGAGCTACCCCTCCCCCCAGCAGTTGCCTCCGCGGCGCCGTTGCTGTTTTTCGGCGGCGAGCGAGGGGGGAGGTGAGAAGGAGACGGCCTCCTCCGAAGCCTCGGAAGCTCCCCGGCCTTCTGAGAAGTCTCTTGAGCCTTCCCGAAGACCACGAACAGACTCAGACGGCGCGAGGACATCTCAGAAGGCCCGCGGCCTTCCGAGAAGGCCCTCTCCTCCTCGCTTCCCCCCTCGCTCGTCGCCCGGCGAGCCCCGGGAGGGAGCCGCGCCCCCGCCCCCCCCCCCCGCGGGGGGCGCCCGCCGCCCGCAGGAGGCGAGCCTGCGGGCCGCGGCCGAGACGCGCTCCCGCGCGCAGGCCGATTCCGCTTCCGCGCGCGGCGCGCGCGTGGCGCGCGCGCGCGGCTCGCCTCGGCGCTGTGGCCCTGCACGAACGAGATGGGCACGGAAAGAATGGGTACAATGCCCAACAGCGGACCCTGTGCATTTTGAACAGGTCTCGCCCTCCACGCCGCCGCGGCCTCTGTCCATTCGAGGCAGAAGGCCGCCTGCCCAACGGCGGCCGCTGTCGGTTTGGGACAACATTTGTTGTTGGGCATTGTAACCATTCTTTTCGTACCCATTTCGGGCGTCCAAAGTTGCCGTGGTCAAGTCGGGCACGTCCCTCTACAGGAGGGATGCTCAAGAGCAGTGGAAACAGAAAGTCAAGTGACGATGTTGCGCGCACTTGTAACTCCTTTTCCCATCCGTTGCCTTCGTTCCCAGCCGTCCTGTGATGTCGGGTTGTCGTTTTGAAGAGACAGAGTCCCGCGTTCCTTCCTCCTTCCCTCCCTCCCTCCTCCCCCCCCCCGCCTCCCTCCTTCCGCTCCTCCCATCCCTTGCACCTCTCACACGCTTCGTGGCCCCACAGGGAACTCCACCGAAGGCCCCAGTGGCAGGGTCCGCATGCGGTTCCACACCCATTTTGGCACGCCCCGCACACGTTTCGTGGGCCCATACGGAGCTCCGCCGAATGCCCCAGTTTCAGGGTTCGCATGCGGTTCCACCCCCATTTTGGCATACCCCTCACTAGTTTCGTGGCCCTATTGGGAGCTCCACCGAAGGCCCCAGTGGCAGGGTTCGCATGTGGCTCCGCCCTTAAGTTTGGCATATCCTCCATTCGTTTCGTGGCCCCGTAGGGAGCTTCACCGAAGGCCCCAGCGGCAGGGTTCGCGCACGGTTCCACCCCCAATGTCAGTACACTCCTCAGAACTCCGCCCAATTCCCCAGTGGCAGGCTCCGCATGCGGTTCCCCCCCCATCTCGGCACACCCCCCACACGTTCCGTGGCTTCGCCCCTGGGCGGCCGCGAGCAGCAGAAACATTGCCGCCGCGGCCTCGCCACGACGCGGGGGACTTGCCAGGGCCGACGGGCGCCGCCGCGGCCCCCGCGCTCGCCGCCACCGACCGCGCGCCGGCGGCTGCCTGCAAGGCTGCTGCGGCTGCGGAGATGGCGAGGACGTCGACGATGTCGACGTCGGCGAGGTCGACGACGAGGGCGGCGACGACGGCGGCGACGGCGGCGACGTCGACGACGTCGGCGACGTCGACGGCGCACCGCCGTGCTGGCAGGCCACGGTCGCGGACGCCGCGGAGGCCTTGGCGGCGGCGGACCGCGAGCTCGCCTCGGCGCGCCGGGGCGGGCCCCGAGCCGGGGCGTTCTTGTCCTGGTCCAGGGGCCCGAGCCCAGGGTGCTCTCACGTGCAGTCGAGACCGATGGTTACACGCCCGTCGTTTGAGAGTGGGTATTTCTGGATTCCCAGGTCCCGGTCGACAGTCCACCCGCACAGCAGGATGGGCAACCTTCCCAAGGGTACCCCCCTTGCATCCCTTCCCCTTCGGCCCGTCCTTGGCCACTTTCGCTGGCCAACCTCGTTCGAAGCGCGTTCACATGGGCCCTCAAGACCCTTGCATCCTTATCGTGCGTCCTTCTGATACGGGTTGACTGTGCAGTCGGACCGAGGTATAAGATCGAGGTCGTTGTTTTGGAGGATATCCTGATAATTTTCGTGTTTGTTGGATGTTCTTGCGCATCCTGGGGAGGGCACCCTGGGATTTTTCGTTTGCTTTGTCAGTCGGAGGGTCTCATGTTCTTGAAGGATGGTCTTCTAGCCTTGGTTCGACTGGTACGTAGGTGTGTTCTGGATTCCCAGACCCTGATCTTTTTCAAGCGCCTTTCTACTTCAAGGGCCGATGTGTGTTTTTTTTGCTGTCCTCTGCCTACTTTATCCGTCTTTCTGCTTCATGACTCCACCTACTTCTTGCGACTGGCGGGCAACCTTCCAACTGGCACCCTTGAATCCTTCCCTCCTCGGTCCATCCTTGACTTCTTTCGATGGCCTGCCGCGCTCGACAAAACTGGCACCCTCATCGCGCATCCCTTCAATCAGTGAGGAGGAAGAGGAGGAGGAGGAGGAGGAGGAGGAGGAGGAGGAGGAGGAGGAGGAGGAGATCCTGGCTCGAAGCTCGACGAGGTCCGAGGCTCTTGGGCGGCCTCGTGGGTTCCCAAGGAGGCCCGCCGGCCTCGGGATGCGGCCTGGCAGCTCCGCCTCGCCGAGAGCGCTCTGGGGGGTGCCAAGGGGAGGTTTTTGTTGGGTGCCTCTGGCCCCTGGGCCCAGGAGGCAGCCACAAAAACAGCGCGGGACGAGAAGGAGGCCCCCGCGAAGATCAGGGGCGGCCTAACCGACCCCTCGCAAACCGTCCCCTTCCGTGACGTCCTCCTCGCCTCGCCCCAGGACGTATGTATGCGACCAGAGGGGTGCCCGAAAGGTGAGGATGACGTCACGGAAGGGGATGGCTTGCTAGGGGTCGGTTAGGCCGCGCCTGAGAATGGGTCCACAGACCTTTGTGCCGCCATTCTGTCCGGAGGCCCGTTGATGGCAACCGCCCCCCCCCCGCACGCGTACCTTGTGCCAGACCGGTTGTGTTTTTGTGGGCTGGTGCTTGGCTTATCTCCAAAACCCTGGGGGCGTTTTTATTTGTTTTTTTTTGAAGATCGACATTATCTTTCAGTTATGGACACCGTTTTTGTATCGCTGTCAGGTCCCGGATCGATCGGTGGCCCGCTTGCTCGTTGTCTTGCTGTTCCAATTATTGCGTTTTCAATATGCTTTTTTGGCATCACAGTGCCGACTGCCTGGCGTCCACATCCGGGGTGTCGTTCTAACACGTTGTTGTCGAGCCACAGTCGAAAAACGGAAAACGTCAACCAACGCCCCCTGTTAATAATGCTAACGGAGTTCCCCACATAAAGAGATTAACGGTCTCGTGGGACCCATTTTCTTGATGCCCTCCTCGCTTTGGCGGGGCCCCGCTGGAAGGGGGGAGGGCTACGAAACCTGGCGAAGAGTAATGCTTTCCGCGACCCTCCTCGTTCAAGCGCGGCCTCTCTGGAGGAGTGGAGGGGGGACACGAAACCGTGTAAACAGCATGTTTTCCGATACCCTCCTCGCTCAGGCGGGGCCTCCCTGCAGGGGTGGGAGGGGCACGAAACCATGTAAATAGTATGGTTTTCGGATACCCTCCTCGCTCAGGCGGGGCCTCCCTGGAGAGGTGGGAGGGGCACGAAACAATGTAAATAGTATGGTTTTCGGATACCCTCCTCGCTCAGGCGGGGCCTCCCTGCAGGGGTGGGAGGGGCACGAAACCAGGTAAATAGTATGGTTTTCGGATACCCTCCTCGCTCAGGCGGGGCCTCCCTGGAGAGGTGGGAGGGGCACGAAACCATGTAAATAGTATGGTTTTCGGATACCCTCCTCGCTCAGGCGGGGCCTCCCTGGAGGTGTGGGAGGGGCACGAAACCATATCAATAGGATGGTTTTGCTTCCCTGGAGAGGTGGGATGGGGCACGAAACCATGTACATAGTATGGTTTTCGGATACCCTCCTCGCTCAGGCGGGGCCTCCCTGGAGGGGTGGGAGGGGCACGAAACCATGTAAATAGTATGGTTTCCGATACCCTCCTCGCTCAGGCGGGGCCTCCCTGGAGGGGTGGGAGGGGCACGAAACCATGTAAATAGTATGGTTTTCGGATACCCTCCTCGCTCAGGCGGGGCCTCCCTGGAGGGGTGGGAGGGGCACGAAACCATGTAAATAGTATGGTTTTCCGATACCCTCCTCGCTCAGGCGGGGCCTCCCTGGAAGGGTGGGAGGGGCACGAAACCATGTAAATAGTATGGTATTCCGATACCCTCCTCGCTCAGGCGGGGCCTCCCTGGAGGGGTGGGAGGGGCACGAAACCATGTAAATAGTATGGTATTCCGATACCCTCCTCGCTCAGGCGGGGCCTCCCTGGAGGGGTGGGAGGGGCACGAAACCATGTAAATAGTATGGTATTCCGATACCCTCCTCGCTCAGGCGGGGCCTCCCTGGAGGGGTGGGAGGGGCACGAAACCATGTAAATAGTATGGTATTCCGATACCCTCCTCGCTCAGGCGGGGCCTCCCTGGAGGGTGGGAGGGGCACGAAACCATGTAAATAGTATGGTATTCCGATACCCTCCTCGCTCAGGCGGGGCCTCCCTGGAGGGGTGGGAGGGGCACGAAACCATGTAAATAGTATGGTATTCCGATACCCTCCTCGCTCAGGCGGGGCCTCCCTGGAGGGGTGGGAGGGGCACGAAACCATGTAAATAGTATGGTATTCCGATACCCTCCTCGCTCAGGCGGGGCCTCCCTGGAGGGGTGGGAGGGGCACGAAACCATGTAAATAGTATGGTATTCCGATACCCTCCTCGCTCAGGCGGGGCCTCCCTGGAGGGGTGGGAGGGGCACGAAACCATGTAAATAGTATGGTTTTCCGATACCCTCCTCGCTCAGGCGGGGCCTCCCTGGAGGGGTGGGAGGGGCACGAAACCATGTAAATAGTATGGTATTCCGATACCCTCCTCGCTCAGGCGGGGCCTCCCTGGAGGGGTGGGAGGGGCACGAAACCATGTAAATAGTATGGTCCGATACCCTCCTCGCTCAGGCGGGGCCTCCCTGGAGGGGTGGGAGGGGCACGAAACATGTAAATAGTATTCCGATACCCTCCTCGCTCAGGCGGGGCCTCCCTGGAGGGGTGGGAGGGGCACGAAACCATGTAAGTAGTATGGTTTTCGGTATGGAGTGGTATGGAATGGTATGGTAGGTATGGTATGGTACGGTATGGTATGATATGGTATGGTATGGTACTGGAGGTATGGTATGGTATGGTACGGTGTGGCATTGGTGTGATATGGTATGGTATGCTATGGTACGCCATGGTATGGTATGGTACGGTATGGTACGTATGGTGTGGTATGGTATGGTATGGTATGGTATGGTATGGTATGTGTGGTAGGAACTATGGTATGGTATGGTGTGTGTGGTAGGAATAATATTGTGCTGTATGGAAGATGGAGCGGGAGGTGGGTGGGAAGGAGAGGGCGTTCTGGGAAAACAAGAACCCCACTCAGGATGTGGGGAAAAAACAACGAGTGGCTGGTGGGCAGACATCACGTCCCAGGGGATGCCATGTTTGTACACAAGCCTCGCTGCACGGCCATGTGCCGGACCAGCTTGCTTGTGGCTGGTGTGTATGTAAGCATCGTGGTCCTATTTGTCCAGAAATCACGAAATCTGATGTTTGGGCCGATCGGTTTCGCCCCTCACAGGATCCGAGGCCCGAGTCAATCGAAACATGATGGAGCGGCGTGAGCATGACCTCTCGGAGGCCCGCGCGTGCTTCTCGGATCGGTGCTGGACACTTCCCTTGGCGGCGCCTTGGCGCAGCCCCCTGGCACGCTCCGCGCGTCAAGGAGGGGGGTCGAGCCGAGCTGCCTTCCGAACGTGTACGTCTACAGTCAGCCCGCATAGTAAGGATGAGCAGTGTTCCAAGGCTGCCCTCGCATCCTTCCCCTTCGGGCCCATGCTTGGCCGCTCTTTCGCTGGCCGTGCCCCGCCCGCACAGTGTCGGCGTCCCGATCGTGCGTCCCTCTCATACGGGTTGACTGTGTCGATGCTTGATTTTGTTTTCCTAGATTGTGCGGGTCAATTGCCCGAGGAGCCGATGTCCCAAGACCCGAGGTGGCAACAGATACGGATGCCTTTGGGCCCCCTCCAGGCCCGAGAACGGGCTTGGGGTCCTGGGACGTCGGCCGTCTTGGTGTTTCCTGGCCTCCTGTGAGGCAGCCTTGGGGGCCACTCGGGGCCTTCTGGGGCCGTCTCTCGGGGCACTCTTGCGCCGGCCCAGGGCCTCTGCTGGGCCGTCTTGGGGGTCGGCGGCGACGATAGGTGCGGATAGCCCAGGGGCGGACATAACACGAATTCGCACGGGAGCCTTTTTTTACCTAACAGCGAAGACTGATAGGCTTCTAGTAGTGTCAAAAGAGAGCATCTTGACTCCCCAGGGGGGTCTGGGCGGGTGCCGGGGAGAACCCGCGGAAGTTGTTTTAAGTAAACAGTTACACATTTCGTGCTCTTCGAGTTCCCAGAACTCCATTCCCGGGCCACATTCTGAATGCCCGGAGCCAACTCTAGGCCACTTCGTGCTCTTCGAGTTCCCAGAACTCCATTCCTGGGCATGATTTTGAATGCCCGGAGCCAACTGTAGGCCACTTCGTGGTCTTCGAGTTCCCAGAACTCCATTCCTGGGCATGATTTTGAATGCCCGGAGCCAACTGTAGGCCACTTCGTGGTCTTCGAGTTCCCAGAACTCCATTCCTGGGCATGATTTTGAATGCCCGGAGCCAACTGTAGGCCACTTCGTGTTCTTCGAGTTCCCAGAACTCCATTCCCGGGCCACATTTTGAATTGAATGCTGAGGCAGGCTGAGGCTGAGGCTGAGGCAGGCTGAGGCTGAGGCAGGCTGAGGCTGAGGCCGAGGCTGAAGGCACTGAGGCTGAGGCTGAAGCAGGCTGAGGCTGAGGCTGAGGCAGGCTGAGGCTGAGGCTGAGGCAGGCTGATGCTGCAGGCTGAGGCTGAGGCTGAGGCTGCAGGCTGAGGCTGAGGCAGGCTGAGGCTGAGGCTGATGCAGGCTGATGCTGAGGCAGGCTGAGGCTGAGGCTGAGGCTGATGCAGGCTGAGGCTGAGGCAGGCTGAGGCTGAGGCCGAGGCTGAAGGCAGACTGAGGCTGAGGCTGAAGCAGGCTGAGGCTGAGGCTGAGGCAGGCTGAGGCTGAGGCTGAGGCAGGCTGATGCTGAGGCAGGCTGAGGCTGAGGCTGAGGCTGATGCAGGCTGAGGCTGAGGCAGGCTGAGGCTGAGGCCGAGGCTGAAGGCAGACTGAGGCTGAGGCTGAAGCAGGCTGAGGCTGAGGCTGAGGCTGAGGCAGGCTCGAGGCTGAAGGCAGAGGCTGAGGCTGAAGCAGGATGAGGCTGAGGCTGAGGCAGGCTGAGGCTGAGGCTGAGGCAGGCTGATGCTGCAGGCTGAGGCTGAGGCTGAGGCTGAGGCTGAGGCTGAGGCAGGCTGAGGCTGAGGCTGAAGGCTGAGGCTGAGGCCGAGGCTGAAGCAGGCTGAGGCTGAGGCTGAAGCAGGCTGAGGCTGAGGCTGAGGCAGGCTGAGGCTGAGGCTGAGGCTGATGCAGGCTGAGGCTGAGGCAGGCTGAGGCCGAGGCTGAAGGCAGACTGAGGCTGAGACTGAGGCTGAGGCTGAAGCAGGCTGAGGCTGAGGCTGAGGCAGGCTGAGGCTGAGGCAGGCTGATGCTGAGGCTGATGCAGGCTGAGGCTGAGGCAGGCTGAGGCCGAGGCTGAAGGCAGACTGAGGCTGAGACTGAGGCTGAGGCTGAAGCAGGCTGAGGCTGAGGCTGAGGCAGGCTGAGGCTGAGGCTGAGGCAGGCTGAGGCTCAGGCAGGCTGAGGCTGAGACTGTGACTGCGACTGCCGTTGCCACTGCTACTGTCATCGCGACTGCGACTGCGACTGCGAGAACAGCAGAATTCTACAACTGGATTCTCATCTGAATCTTAAGGGGAATGCTTCCAGGTATGCTCCTACACATCGCTGTTAGGTTGCTTTGCCGGGATAATTGAAGACATAGATCATCGGCGCACCTGAATACATGTATTGCTCTCCCCTGAGCTATTCGCCCCTGTCGTCGCCTCTGATGGGGGGCCCTCTTGGCCGTCACGATGGGTGTCGTGGGGGCCGTCGTGGTGGCCGTCTGAGTGGCGTCTCGGGCCGTCGAAGGGCCCCTCCCCGGCGGTGCCGTCCTCGGACGTCGCAGTCGAGGAGGAGGAGGAGGAGGAGGAGGAAGAGGAGGAATAATGGAGGAGGAGGGGAGGAGGAGAAGGAGGAGGATCAGGAGGAGGAGGTGGTGGAGGAGGAGAAGGAGGAGGAGGAATGGAGGAGGAGGAGGAGGAGAAGAAAGAGGAGGAGGAAGACCTGCCGACGCAGTCGAAAGCCAGCCGCGGGGACGAGCCCTTGGATCGGGGCGCACGCCGCGGGGGTGCCAGCGCCACAGCTCAAGGGAGGAAACACCTAATGAGGCCGACAGTTGACGTCAACTAAACGGCCCTGGGCGTTTACTAAACAGCCTTGCCTCGTCGATTCCGTCTGTGGGTGCGTTCACTCAACGGCTTCGCTTGTCGGGGTGGTGGTTGTGGGGGTGGAGCTCTCTGCCCTCTGGCAGTGGGGGTCGGCCGACTCGGTCCGAGCCTCCCCGGCCGACCCGTTCTCGGGAGCCGTGGGGGGCCGCCGGCCCCCTGACCCTAGTCAACATTTCGTCCGGGGGCGATGTTTCGTGCTCTTTTCGGCAATTTCTGAGCAGTTTTTGCTTACCCGTCGGTGGTTGAAAGTATGTATTTTTCTGGAGTCCCAGATTCCAATCTACTGAGTCCCAGATTCCAATCTACTTCGAGTGCCTTCCTACTTCAGTGCTCGAGTGGCCTCACATTTTCCGTCCTCCCAAGGGGGCGGACGGAACCCGATCTGTTTTCAACGTCTTCCCACTTCACGTTTCCACCTGCTCCTCCCGAGTGGGTGTGTCAAATGCTTCTTTCGACATCTCCCGGTACGAGGACGTGCCCGGCCTCACCCTGCCGGGCCCTCCGCCGTCCCGGGCACAGGAGCTGGCATGCAGCCAGCCCGTGTTGGCGGCGCGGCCTTGGCTGGCCCCTAGCTGCAGTCGGCCCGCATACACCTTAGGCGATGCTTAAGAAAACTTAAGTTTTCGACCAGAGTCTCGATGATTCTTAATGTTTCAATGTAAATCCTAAGATTTGAATAGAAACAGTGGGTTTTAATTCAAGTTCTGAGACTATGGATTTCTTAACCCATGATTTCTTAAGCATGTCGCAGGGTGTAGTGAGGAGGGGCCAGGTCCCCAAGGGTCCCCCCTGGCCTCCTCGCCGCCTCGGTCCTCCTCGCTCCTGCCTCCTCCAGGTACTCCCGAGGTGCAGTCGAGACCGATGTACACGCCCGTCGTTGGAATGTGGGCATTTCTGGATCCCCAGGCCCCGATCGACAGTCAACCCGCACAGGGAGGGTTGGCAGCCTTCCCAAGGGTACCCCCCTTGCCTCGTTGCCTCCTCGGCCCATCCTTGGCCACTTTCGTGTGCCGCGCCCCGCTCGAGCAGCCTCGAGATGGCCTTCCAAGGCCCTTGCATCCTTCTCATGCGTCCTTACACTACGCGTTGGCAGTAGCGCCGATCATGGCGGCCCCGGTTGAGGCAGAGGGGCCCTTTCAGATCTTCCAGTTGTGGGCACGATGGCCATGTTTGTTGCTTCCTCGGTCCATGGCCCCCAGCTGAGAGGCCAACATCCGCCGAGACTGATGCGCAGTACAATGCACGCTTGAGCCGACTTGTTGCATCGGCTTTGAGTGATGCTTTGTTCAAGGGCATGCCCGACCCAATCCTATACGTTGAAGGTCTGAGGTGCGCAGACGAGCTTCCCCTGACACACGACGTCGAGATTTGCTCGCAGTGTGGGTCCCCGGAGGTTTGGGCCCCTCCTGGGGACTGGCTGCTCCTCCCATGAACAGGTTTTTGTTGATGGCCCTAGGCCCCGGCAAAGGCCCTGGAAGGCCGAAGCAGCAATAGATCTTCCGTCGTGATCTTTCTCGACGCGAGGAGGTATTACTCTCGGCTCATAGCTCGGGTCTCCGGTGGCCGTTTGGGACGATCTGAGCACCCCACGGAAGGTTCTCAGCAAGGCGCAGCTGCTGGAACGCATCCCGAGGATTGGAAGCATGCAGGAGCCCGCGAAGACGTCTAACATCCTCGAGTCTCGTCGTGGGCTCTTCTGTTCGCTGCGCAAGTGTCCCTGGGGGGCGAAGGCGAGCATCGCTGAAATGGCCCCTCCCGCAAGGCCCGCGCAGGGCTGGCCGGGCGCGCGTTGCTGGGCCGGTCGGCGGGATTGCGCTGGCAGGCGGAGGGGTCCTGGCGCGCGCAGCTGGCGTGCCTCAGAGGCGCCCCCGCGCGCCGCGGGGAGATTTTAGCAGCGCGCCTGTGGAACGCGCGTGTCCACTGTCTCCGGTGCAGTCGCAGGGGCTCGTTTGGGGCTCATTCCTCCTTCTTCCCTCGCCATTTCCTCCATCGCCCCTCCTCTTTTCCCCTCCCTTCCTCCTCCTCCTTCTCGTCCCTCGTCTTTCCCCCTGTTCCTTCATCTTCTCTCTCCTTCCTCCCTCCTCCTCCTCCTCCTCCTCCTCCTCCTCCTCCTCCTCCTCCTCCTCCTCCTCTCTTTCCTCCTTCTCTCCTCCTCCTCTTCCTCCTTCTTCTCTTCCTCTCCTGCTTGTTCGGAGGTTGTCTGACTGCATTGAGGTTGTATAACGTGAGATGCGTGAGAGAGATACGCGATGCTATACATACACATATAGATATGCATATATGCATGTATGTATGTATATATGTACGTATGCATGTATGCACGCATACAGGCAGGCAGGCAGGCGGGCAGGCAGGCAGGCAGGCAGGCAGACAGGCAGGCAGGTAGGCAGGCATGCATGCATGCATGGATGGATGGATGGATGGATGGATGTCTGTGTGTATGTATGTATGTAGGTAGGTAGGTAGGCAGGCAGGCAGGCAGGCAGGCAGGCAGGCAGGTAGGTAGGTAGGTAGGCAGGTCGGTATGTATGTATGTATGTATATATATATATATATACATAAGAGAGAGAGAGAGAGAGAGAGAGAGAGAGAGAGAGAGAGAAGGAGGGAGGGAGGAATAAGAACACACGCAACAACATACCTGTGTTGGTTGGGGAGTTTAGCCGCCCCCTCTCGTTTGTGCGTCGTTTCGCGCCTCCAGGGGCCCACAGCGCGTCGGGGAAGCCGAGGCGCGTCCTGGGTGAGGAGGAGTGCCGCCGACGCCGACGTCGTCTTCACTCCGCAGCTTGTTTTTGGGGGCCCCCATCGAGGGTTTCTGGTCGCCGCACGGCCAGGGCGAGAGACCCAGACAGAAACACTGGCCAGGACGGGCCTTTTGGGGGGCGCGCCTCGGAGATGCCCCAGGGAGGGTCGATCGAGGATCGACGGGGCTCGATGATCGACCGTCGACGGGGATCGTGGAGCGCAAAATGACAATGGTTTGAAATGATTCAGACGAGGAGAGGAGGGAGAATGGGCAGTGGATCGTCTCCCCTTCAGTCGAGCAGGTCCGCGAAGAGGAGCCAGGAGCCCGCCACGACAATCACACATTGACACAGTGGAGCATGGAAACGTACCGAACATGACCATAACACATGCTGCACTAAAGCGCACTGAACATGGGGGGCTTGTGAGGGGAACGAATCATGACATAAACATACAAACCCGGAGGTTCTCGCGGATTTCTCGGATCGGCGCTGGGTCCCCCTCCCTGGCGCGCTAAGCGCGCCAGTGGCGGCGCCGCAGGCGCCACCAGGGTGCCCCAGCGCCGATCCGAGAAATCTGCGCGGACCTCCGACTTTTCAATGTTTATGTCATTGCTTAATGGAGGATGGAGGATCGAGGAGGACGGGGGAGGATGAAGGATGGAGGATCAAAGTCTCTCCATGTTGCGTGGAGTTTCCACAAGCAGCTTGTCTGCAAGGCTCTTTTTATAGTGTCTCCAGGGTCCCGTGGGAAGTCCTTTTTCTGGGGCTGGGACATCGGTGGCTCGTGTGGCCCCAGCTGTCTCCCGCCGTGCTCTCCCGTGCATGTCGTCTCCCGTACTTCTGGCGTCCCGTAATAGGGGTCTCTCTCGCACGTGGTGTCCCGCGTATGCTCTCCCGTGTGCGCTCCTGTGGGGTTCTCCTTATGTTCTCCCAGGAGGCGCCGCCATGGGGCCCCAGCGCCGGTGCGAGCCGTCCGCGCGGACCTCCGAGTCGTTATGTTTCTGTCCGTGTTCGCTCCCCGAGGCTTGTGCAGGAAGCTAAACAGGAAGCCATAACGGGAAAGACATACGGGAGCGCAAACGGGAGAGGAGATGCGGAAACATGTTCGGGAGCGCACACGGGAGCGCAACACGCCAGGCGGGAGACTGATTGTACGTGTGCGCTCCCTCAGGTCTTTCCTTCTATGTTCTTCTCGGGGAGCGAACAATGACAGAAACATGAAAACTCGGAGGTCCGCGCGGATTTCTCGGATCGGCGCTGGGGCCTCCTGGCGGCGCCTCTGGCGCCGCCACTGGCGCGCTCCGCGCGCCAGGGAGGGGGGTCCGGATTCAAGAGATCCGCGCGGACCGCCGAGCCTTTAAAGTTTATGGTTTTTTCGTTCCCCTAATACGCCTCCCAAGTGTGCAGTGCGCTTTCGTGCAGCATGTGTTATGGTCATGTTCGGCACGTTTCCATGATCCAACTTGTTATTGTCGTGGCGGGCTCCTGGCTCCTCTTCCCGGACCTGCTCGACTGAAGGGGGGCCGATCCACTGCCCATTCTCCTCCTCTCCTCGTCTTACTCATTTTCAATCCATTTGCCATCCTCCGCCTCCGCCTCCTCCTCCTCCTCCTCCTCCTCCTCCTCCCCCTCCTCCTCCTCCTCCTCCTCCTCCTCCTCCTCCTCCTCCTCCTCCTCCTCCTCCTCCTCCTCCTCCTCCTCCTCCTCCTCTCAGTTCCAATCCGCTGTCCATCCTCTTCACTCTTCCTCCCGAGGGGAACGTGGCACGGACGCGCACGGGGGCCGTTCCCCAGGCGCGGAGGATCGCCCGGGGCGGTGGTACCGCGCCCGAGGGGGTGTGAGCTCGAGGGGGCTGCAGCGAGCCTCCCTGTGGTTGCAGCTGACGATGTGCCAGCCGAGCCTCGAAGGCGATGTTTCTCCCCCGACCCCCGACTTTTCGGCGAGAAGTGAACCCACTCAGAAAATCGGCGGCGAGCGAGTGGGGGAAGTTGGAAGGGGCGGGCCTTCTCAGAAGGCTCGGAAGTCCCATGGCCTTATGAGCAGTTCTCTGGGCCTTCCCCGAAGACGCAAGTCTCTCAGAGGGCGCGAGGGCTTCTGAGAAGTCCCGCCGCCTTCTGAGAGGGCGTTCTCCTCACTTTCCCCCTCGCTTGCCGCCGAGGAAAAGAAAATTAACCCTGGGATCTGCCCCCAGGGGGCGATTCGGACGCACTCCTGTCGAGGACGGACGACCGCCCCCTCGTGAATCCCAGAGTCGGGCCCCAGACTCCCGGTCCATCCGAAAACCCCACGGAGCCTGGGATGGGGGGTCGACATATCCCCTGTTAACGTCGCCGGCGGAGAGGACTGACTGAGTGTCGTGAGGATGCGAAAGTACCCGTCGCCCGCGCTGCCTCTGCCTCGTTTGGGTGGTGTCATGGCCAGGCAGCGCGGGGTCGTCAGCTCTCGTGCCGTGTGGGTTCTCGCCATACCCTTCGGGCGGAGGCATCGCTTCTCGGGATTCGCCAACAGGTCCAGAAGCTCCTTCCCCGCTTCGGCGGCGAGCTTGGGGGGGAGTGAGAAGGAGAAGGCTTTTGAGAAGGCTCGGAAGTCCCCCAGCCTTCGAAGAAGTTTTCTAAGCCTCCCCCGAAGACAGAAACCATCAGAAGGTGGGGGGCTTCTGATAAGGCCCGCCGCCTTCTGAGAAGGTCTTCTCCTTGTCATTTCCCCCCCACGCTCGCCGCCGATTCACGGGAGTCGCCAACAGTTACAACAGTTATTTCCCTTTTCCCCCCATACAGTCTATGCCTCCTGATTGGGGTCCGAGTAGATGGGGTTGGATGATCGCCCCGCATCACCGATGCATCTCCGATACAGTTGGATGCGGATCCTAACTTTCTCAACGCCGGCGTCGCCGATATATCGCCGACGTCGCCGATGCATCTCCGATGCATCGGCGATGCGGCGCGATCCTCCGACACCATCTGCCCGCACCCCATCGAGGAGGTCTAGAGAAGGAGTTCTTGGAACTGTTGGCGAATTCCGTGAATCGGCGGCGAGCGAGGGGTGGGAATGAGAGGGAGAAGGCCTTCTTAGAAGACGGCGGGGCATCTCATAAGCCCGCCGCTCTCTGATGTGTTCTGTCTTCGGGGGACCCCATCGAGAAGGCCTCTACCCACCCCCCGACAGAGAGTGTGCGCGAGAGAGAGGGCCCTCGAGGGAGGAGGAGGAGGCGGAGGAGGAGACGGAGGAGGAGGAGGAGGCGGAGGCGGAGGCGAGGCCGAGGCGGAGGAGGGCGGAGGACAGAAGAGGAGAGGGGAGGCGGAGGACGGAGGCGGGGGAGGCGGAGGATGAGGAGGAGGAGGCGGAGGAGGAGGAGGCGGAGGCGGAGGAGGACGGAGGACGAGAAGGAGGAGGAGGTGGAGGCGGAGGCGGAGGAGGAGGAGGAGGAGGAGGTGGAGGCGGAGGCGGAGGAGGAGGAGGCGGAGGAGGAGGAGGAGGAGGCCTTCCCCCCCCACGACGGAGAGCAAGAGCGAGAGGCTGGCGCGGCCGCCTGGAGCTCCGCCGCGCGGCGCGGCGGCGCAGGCGCGCGAAGCCGCCGCCGCCTCCCCCCACGGCCAAGGGCCGAGGTCAGAGCCCCGAATCATCAGGGGTAACTCGGGTCAGGGATAACTCGGGTTCGTTTTTCGGGAATCCAAACCCGAGTTACCCCGGACCCGAGTTACCCCGGAAAACTCGGGCGTAGAGCCCCGAATCATCAGGGATAACTCGGGTCAGGGCTAACTCGGGTTCCTTTTCCGGGAATACAAACCCGAGTTACCCCGGACCCGAGTTACCCCGGATAATTCGGGCGCCCAATCAGTCGATCGGCGGCGAGCGAGGGGGCACGGGTTCGAAGTTCCAGGGTTTCGGTTGCTTTCGCAGGTCCTCGGCGGCTTTTTCCAGCCTCTCGGGGTGCGTTCCGGCAGCTGCGCCCCGCCGAGGGCGTCTTGGGTGCTGGCGGCTCAAGTCATGACCCGGAAGCCAAACCCGGCGGCGCGCCGAAGGGGGGGGAA